ATATATTAAGATCTCCCATTGGGGCATGCAACTCTTGGATACTCGAGCTCACTAGGGTCGTGAACCAAGTATCAGCCCGAGTAGTCGAACCTAGTCAAAATAACCAATTTACAAAAAAAAAAATGATTACATTGGACAAATCATTTCACTTGATTATCAATTAGCTCGACCTCAAAAATGTATAGACATAAGAAAATATATATATCTCTAAGTCTTGAAAATAGTTCATCTTATAACAAACTAGATATCTAAAACATTTATTTTGTAATATTTTAAGGGAAATGATCTTGTGTGACCCTCCCACACCCATGTATGTAGGACTCCAAATGATCACCTTTAAATTTGATACATATATCTATAAAAGTCAAGTCCCATACAAATGTGATAACTTTTATAGAGATATGTGTCAGATTTAATGGTGATTATTTAGGGTCCTACACACACGGGTGTGGGAGGGTCTCATAGGATCATTGCTCACATTTTAATTATTAATAAATATGCTTGGTCAGCCCTATTTTGAAATGTTAAATTTCACAATTAACAGGGAAAACAAATTTTGAGACTATCATAAAGATTTTCAACATCAAAGTTTCATCTCCTAAAAATATTTAGAGGCATGGCTTGCTTTGATTGTCAAATGTGGATTTCTTATCGAAACTGTACATATAGGTCATAATCACTCTTAACTATTTGATGTGAAATCATAATACCATTTGATGTAAGATCATATATTGAAGTTCATCACAACATCCAAGAGATTTTATTTTGTACTTCGTAATTTGTATCTTTTAGTGGCACATCATTGACCGCCCAAATTTTTATCTAACAGTTAGTTGTGATTTTTTTATACAGAAAATAAACAGTTTTGGAAAAATTACAAAAAACACCCTAAAACGAACAACTTACCCCCACCCCAAGATTTTGTCACACTTTTTCCCCCCAAACTACCTTTTCTCGCAAACCCCTCCAACCTAAAGTAAGATGAAATAAGACTAAAGTACCCTCGTTTATTTTCACACAGTCTTCTCTCTCCCTCTCCTGTTTCCTATAGTAAAGACGTGCTCCGACAGTCCCAATATGAGCTTCGACGGTACTTTGTTTGACCCATAACGCTCCGGCATTCTGATAACTCGCTCCAACAATGCAACTACACACTCCGGCAGTCCACTCCGACAATGAAGCCTCTAGAGCTACAACGCTTCGGCAATGGAGGACTACACTCCGTCAGTCTGAATGTGCGCTCTGGCATGTGCACTTCGGCAGTCCGAATGTGCGCTCTGGCAGTCACAATGTGCACTTCGACAGTGCTTTGTCTGACCCACAGCGCTTCGGCATACTAAGAACTGCGCTCCGACAGTCTGAATGCGCACTGCGGTAGTCCCAATGTGCGCTCTGGTAGTCATTTGTCTGACCCATAGCGCTTCGGCAGTGAAAATACTCACTCCGGTAATGAAGTCTCTGGAGCCACAATGCTCCGGTAATGTAGTACAGCGCTTTGGCAGTGCTTCTCGACATTCCACTCCGGTAGTAGTATACTGTGCTTCGGCACTACTCTACTCGGGATCTGCGAATTGATTTGGTTTGTATGGGAAGGACATTTCTGTTCAAAAAATAAGAACTTTTTACTTTGGGGGGGTTTTTGCGAGGGAAGGTTTTTGGGGGAAAAAAGTGTGAAAAAATATTGGGGTGGGGGTAAGTTTCATAGATAGGGTGCTTTTGTTAATTTTCCCTAATTTTTTTTTAGAATGGTGCGTTAATCTATTTTTATCTCTAAATTAAAAATTTAAACTAAAAAAATAGTTCAAACAAAGTAAATCATGAAAATATTGTAAATAGATAGTCTAGATAATGCGTTGCAAGATGTATTATTTTTAAAGTTTGAAATCTCTTTTTTTTCTCTATATTTTATGCATCTCGATGTGAACAATTGAGATAATCAATTAGATGTTTTTCTATAATCAAAATGACATTTTTCAAAGGATTTGATAGGCTTAATTCTACATTTTAAGGTGTCATCTTTATACAATCTTGTCCCTAATTAGCCAAAAAGTCTCATCCTCTATCAATGAATAACAACCATCCGATGGTTCGATTATCGGCGATGGACTCCACTCTCAACTGTACCATTGTCCCCAGCTCACATAATCTCTATCCCTGGTTGAGCATTACGTGCCCTCCCCACGACATGTTATTATAGATTAGGGATGTTGTTTGTATAGAGCTGAGGCTTTAAACAATCAAAGTAAAGCACACCTTCAAATAGTGTAGAGACTTATGATTTCAATACTAGAAATCTTTGTGAGAGCCTTAAAATATATTTTCATATTTGATTATAAATTTTAAAGTTACAAAAATAGTGTAAATTGAGCCGATCCACAAAAACTTGAAAATCTTGAAAATTGACAGTAAAAAATGTATTATTTTCAAGACTTAAAATCCATTTTTTTATCATGTCCATGTATCTTGAGGTTAAGATGATCAATTTGAGGATATTTGATCATCCAAAAACCTCTTCCAATGAAATTTTTGATGTGAGTCATAATTTAATTGTTTAGAGCCTTTAAAACCCCGACCTTATATAAACTTTTTCCTTTGACATTGTGCCCTCCAATGACTAGGACATAATATTATAGAATGAACAAAAATTTATATAGAGCCAAGGCTCTAAACAATCAAATTAGAGCCTAACTCAAAAATTTCACTAGAAGAGGTTTTAATGTTTAAATATCCTCAAATTGATCATCTCGACATTAAGATATATGGATATAAGGAAAAAAATAGATTTAAAGTTTTGAAAATAGTATATCTTATAACACATTTATTGACTATCAATTTTCAAGTTTTTCAAATATTCATAGTTCTCGCTATAACAAATATTTCCAATGTTGAAACTACATATCTCGAAACTATGTAAAGGTGGGCTTGATTGTTTAGAGCCTCAGCTCTATACATACCGCACCCTTATAGAATAGATCGCATATAGGTAAAAAATTTGACCAGTATTTGTTCAGCTCGACCGTCCCATACAATAACAGACGGTGGATATTCCACCAAAAAGATGAGCCTATGAATGGCCCTCCTCCTCGTTTTCTCTCTCTCTACTGTGAAATGGGACTCGATTAATTTTTCTCTCTCTCAACTGTGAAACCCAGTTAAACCTCTCTTGATCATCTCCAATGGAATCTGAAGAGTGAACACCAAAGTGAGACCAATTATACCTTTCTCTCTCCAGAGTAAAACCCAATTGAACCTCTCATTCTCATCTCCAATGGAGTCTGAAGGTTAACACCGAAGTGAGACCCAGTTAAACACCTCTCTCTCTCTCTCTCGTCAGTGAAAGCCAACTAAACCTCTCTCTCACCCCGAAAGTTAATATCAAAGTGAGACCGAATTAAGGATATCTCTTTTTCTCTCATTAATCTTGCTTGTGGTTCTACTGCCTTTGCACTTGCCATAGCCGGTATGTTCCATGTTCTGTAAATTTCCATAGTCAAGATCAGTACTTTTTGTATACAGAGGATAATTCTAGTCAAGAGTAGTTTCTTTTTCATTTCTAGCATTTGAATCTCTAAAAACCCCGTTAATGGAAGGATTAGTCAGCAGTCATGCCACCCATTCATATGTTTTCAATTATATCCCATTAAAACACTTACAAGTAAGTCTCACCTCACAAAACCAGGTGTTCAATCACAATTTTCGAAATGGGTTCTCAAGATTTTGCCACAAGAGTTGCAGATACAGACCTGGGAATTTGTTTATGGCTTCCAATCACAAAATCAGGCTTGGCTCTTGTAGTATTAATCCTAGGAGTTCCAGACATAAGGGTCATGAGTTGTTAATGGGTTTTCAAAACAAACTTAGTCATGGGGTAGCTAGAATTTGTCTAAGAAATTGCAAAACTAGAGAAGAAGGTGTTTCAATGGCTTCAAAAAGTGTTGACAATACACAAGAACTGAACATGGATTGGGAGACTGAGCTTATAGATGAGATTGATCCCTTGGGATATCGGCCCCCACCAAAGAGGCGAGCCCGGCTCAAGTCTAAACCGATTGAAGATACAGAGGGTATGGATTGGTGCGTTAAAGCAAGAGAAATCGCGTTTAAAACTATAGAGGCCAGGGGCTTGGCAACTTCCATCGAAGATTTGGTGACCACAAAGAAGAAAAAGAAGAAGAAAACCAACAAAAAGGTGAAATTTGGCAAGAAATCCAAGGATTCGAACAAGTTGAATTTCGAAGATTCGGATGATGATCTCGAAGAAAATGTTGGCGATAGCGATCTTTACTTGAAAGATGACAGGGCCTATTTGAGAGAAACCGTTAGCACGTTTGAAGATGGCATGTTTGAAGAAAGGAAAGAGAGAACCAGAGAGGCTTTCATAGAGAGACTATCTCAATTCTCAGGTCCTTCTGATAGGAAGAAAGAGGTTAATTTGAACAAGGCCATTGTAGAATCACAAACTGCGGAAGAAGTACTGGAAGTGGTTAGTGAGATGATATATGCAGTGGGAAAAGGCTTGTCGCCTTCACCATTAACCCCTCTAAACTTAGCTACAGCTCTTCATCGGATAGCAAAAAACATGGAGAAAGTATCAATGAATCAAAGTCACAGGCTTGCTTTTGCTCGCCAGAGAGACATGTCGATGCTAGTGGGCATTGCCATGGCTGCTTTACCAGAGTGCTCAGCACAGGGGATATCAAATATAGCTTGGGCTTTGTCTAAGATTGGCGGGGAGCTTCTTTACATATCCGAAATGGATAGAATTGCAGAAATTGCATTGACCAAGGTCGGGGAATTCAATGCTCAGAATGTGGCTAATGTTGCAGGTGCATTTGCTTCGATGAAGCATTCAGCTCCAGAGCTTTTCACCAAACTGGCAAAGAGGGCATCCTCGGTTGTTAGTACTTTTCAAGAACAAGAGCTCACTCAAGTGTTATGGGCCTTTGCTTCTCTGTTTGAGTCTGCTGACCCTTTGCTAGACTCACTTGACAATTTGAGCCCCAAAGGAAGCAACACAAAAGAAAAAGCTCATGAGTCTGAAGTACAATCACAAGAAGATTTTGATTGGGAAATTGAAAATATTGAGGACCTGAACATTGATGATGTTTACGAGTCTGAACTAGAATTAGAAGGAGAAGGTTTTAATAGGGAAATTGAAGATATTGAGGACCTTGTTTTGGATGTGAACTTAGATACCCCAACACTGAATTTCAGTAGAGATCAGATTGGAAACTTGGCCTGGTCATATGCTGTTCTTGGGCGGATGGATCGTCCATTTTTTTCTCACATATGGAGGAATTTAAATCATTTTGAAGAGCAAAGGACTTCAGAGCAATATAGAGAGGATGTCATGTTTGCTTCACAAGTTCACCAAGCTAACCAATGCTTGAAACTTGAGTACCCCTTTCTCGGATTATCATTAGGAGAAAGTTTTGAGGATAAAATCACTCGTGCTGGAAAAACCAAGAGGTTTAATCAGCAAACAACTTCTTCCTTTCAAAAGGAAGTCGGCAATCTTCTTGTGAGTACAGGCCTCGAGTGGGTCAGAGAATATACAATAGATGGTTACACTTTAGATGCAGTATTGGTCGATAGAAAGCTTGCTCTTGAGATCGATGGACCAACCCACTTCTCAAGGAACTCAGGTATCTTCTGTCAAATTCTATGGCCTGCAAAAATTAATGTTTTTTTTTTCTATCTATAAATAAGGTTTTTCTATTGTCTTGATGATTGTAGGCTGCCAATTTTCACTGTAGGCACCCCTCTTGGGAATACGATGCTGAAACGGCGATATTTTGCTGCTGCTGGATGGAATTTAGTTTCTGTCTCCCATCAAGAGGTAATTTTCCAAACCAGAAGCCTTCCATTATATTTAGCTAGTTGGTTGATTCCTCTTTTGGATAAGTGAGCATAGGTTTCGAACTTGGGATGTTGGGATAAATCATCAAGAACTTAACCAGTTAAATCAGTGCATGAATCCCTTGATTTTTACCTGAAAAAATCGCCTAGCTAAAGCAAACGTTACTTCTAGTAAGTTATCTTAGGTAGGAGCTGATTAGTAATTAACGATGAGTGGCCAAGTCATAAATATAGGGAAATACATGGTAGTTAATACTCAGGCTTCACATTAGTCACTGAATCACCGGTCAGCTCAAAGGGGATTGTTATTGTCTCATTACAAGTGAAATGTGCATCAATAAAGGAAGTCATAACATTACTTATGCAGGGAAATTTGGCAAACTCTACTCTGAAAACAATATCAATAATCATACCTTTCACGAGAATGGGGTTTGTAAATGTCTCTTAAGTGTAGTAATAACCCAAGAGTGATCAATATTAGGAATAATGTCATCAATGTAGCCACATGATCATGTTATACTTGTAGAAGAAGAGAGAAGAAGCAAGAAAGTAGTCCACTCAATTAAGTTACAATGCTATTTGGCAGCCTATTCAAGACTGTAAAAGTCATTGCGCAAACAACAAATGGGTGGAAGCTCTAGATATACCTTCTCATGAAGTCTTCTCAAGAAACGCTCATCATAACAAGCCGATAAAATGGACAGTGATGAACAGAGACAAGAGCAATGAGTGTAATGAGACTAGGCATATTCTCCATGGAGGTAATGTCCGAGCATAGTCCAAGCCATACGGCTATGCAAATCCTTGGACTACAAGGCATGCCTTATAATCATATTGCCATTAGTTCGTTTTGTATGATCTACAAGAGCGGTATACAGAATGGAAGGACAACAAGCTCCAATGCACGGTTGTCTCTTAGAGTATCGAGTTCTTTTAATGTACTCTTAAAGTTTTGGGAGCATTCAACATGTGATTAAAGGGAAAGTGAAAAATCGGATGTCCCCATTTTGTGCCTTTTGGCTGACATGGATCAAAACTGTGATTTTGTTGAATGAGAAGGCCCTGGCTGGAGATCTTCAACACTACAATGATGAATTGGAATAGGTATTATAGAGGGAGAGATGGACTTGAAAGAGTTTAGTAGAGGACTGAGTTGTGGAAGACAATAAAATGGATGACTAGTGTGGAAGACAATAAAATGTATAATGTGTGCATCTTTTGTGAATTTGAAAAGCATTCACTACATTAGGCGATATAACTAAGAAAGGTTTCAGAGTATTGTTATAGCAATATCCCTTTTGAAAGGGACCATTTCCTTAAAACACACATGGAGACCCTGCTCATGATAGGAAGCAGAGTAAAATAACTTGGAGAGTTCCAATTACAAATACATGCACATGAGGGTGGTTCAAAGCATGTCGCATTAGAATCCCTTTTAAGAGACACGGCGTTGTATAAGTGAACAGGTGCTTCCATGAAAGATGGGAGGAACATGCATTGAAAGAAGCAACATGTGGGCAGTGTTGCCTAGCGAAGGATACGAGTAGCCAAATTTAATGTGTCTTAAGTGTCTAGAACTGTGGCCTCAAAATATGGCAAGGCGCATTGGTGCAATCATCAATTTGTAATAAAAATAATAGGCTTTTAATGTAGGGTGTGGTTTGTATAAGGCCGAGGCCCTAAACAATCAAAGTTGGCACACCTTCAAATAGTCCCAAATTATATTGTTTTAGTATAAAAAATATTTATGATGGCCTGAAAATTTATTTTCATCTGTTATTATAAAATTTAAAGTTAAAAAATAGTGTAGATCGAGCAGATCTATGAACACTTGAAAATTTTGAAAATTAACGGTCTACATAATATATTACAAACTGCACTATTTCCAACACTTGAAATCTATTTTTTCTTATGTCCATACGTCTTGAGGTTGAGATGATTGAATTGAGGGTTTTTAAGCATCAAAACAACCTTTTCTAATGAATTTTTGAGGTGCGCCTTAATTTGATTGTTTAGGGCCTCACCCTTATATAAGCATTTTTCTTTTAATGTATATATACTACATATTATTACACGCCGATGTGGTTGGCAAAGGGGTGAACAACACAAGTTTGACACAGGGCATTGATTCAAACCCACTATTGTGCTCTATATTTTTTTTTAGTATTCCTGGTCTGAAGTGTCAACACATCGTCTGGGTGACATGGCATTGTGGACCATCTCAACAAGATGGTAAGATGTTTAAGTTCAGTGATTTTGTTGAGATCTCAAAATTCATGGGATAAGCATCCCCTTATGTTGTTGAATGTGAAGGTAAGATGTTTAAGTTCAGTGATTTTGTTGAGATCTCGAAATTCATGGGATAAGCATTCCCTTCTGTTGTTGAATGTGATGGTAAGATGTTTAAGTTCAGTGATTTTGTTGAGATCTCGAAATTCATGGGATAAGCATTCCCTCCTGCTGTTGATGTGAAACTTTGCAGAAAATCATCTGAAAAAGGTGAACTCTTTGATTTTATGATTCATAAAATAGAGATAAATATAATATTTAGGTCCATAATAAATATTTATATGGATCTAAAATATTCTTTTTATTTATCTCAAATAAAATATATACTTCCATAAAAAATAAAAAAAAGAAACATCATCATCATCAGAACCTTTTTCCAAGTATTTAGCATTGGCTACACGAATTCTGGTCCTCCATTCAGCTCTATCAAGGGTCCTATCCTCAGTGTAGCCATAAGTTATTTAAAAAAAAAAACAATGGCACTAAATAGGAGTGATATCGACACTAGAATATGCAAACACAGCAGAATCGACGTAATCGACATTTCGGAGTACAGAAGACCTTGGTTGGCTCATCTGCAGTGTGATCTCTTCGGCCCAATATGTGAACCAGCAAATACGAGCCAACAAAGGGATACCTTCACGTTAGCTCGGGTGCTCCACAAGCTAGCTCTTTGATCCTGTCCTGTATACTCTTGTTCGATCCTAAATCAAAGGGGCGCATTGCGGAAATACTAGAAATGACTAAGTGGTTATTCCTTCCATTCATTTTGGGTGGGGCTCGGAGCTGGGAACAGCTGTCATTGGACTGGAATGGAACAGATCAGTAGCGGCCTAGCGGGTCAACCGTTGTAGCTAGCTTTCCGGGGAGCGACTGTTCCCTCTGACAATCGAATAAATGAAGATGGTTTAGGAGAACAACTGCATAAATATCCAATCGGCACCTTTCCAAGCATTTAACCAGTACAAGGGGCTGAAGATACAACATTTAGTTGACCTCAGTAATGACTTCCATCTTTTATTATTCTTTAAGAAAAATTGAACATAGGGGCAGCCAAACTTGTAATGCTATATCAATGGAAATTAATTATTGCCATTGTCGAGGTGTTCAAGAGAAGGCATAGGTCGTTTATCTCCTTCATGTCAAATATTTCTTTTTGGTTTGTTCCTTGTTGTTCCTCATGCTTAACTATTTTCAATGGTTCCATAGAAGAAACACATAACTTTAAAAGCTTAACTTGTAGTTATTTGCAACTTTGATTTAGTGTACTGTTGATACATATTTTCATTGGTCACGTGTTTCCTTTTATTCACTTGTTTTGCTTATTCGTATAAATATTATGTTATTTGGTATTTTGCTTCAAAATTTTGTAAATATTCTCTTACATAATTTCACAATGAATCCACGAATCTGATTTCAAAAAGGAGGTCTTACTTTCGGTGCAGGACACAATCACCCCTGGCCATCATATGTGAAATTGGGTGGCGGGGTGGGGTGTGTGTCATTGAATGTGTTGAAAGTCCTTTTTTTAAAAAACTTTGCGACTGACCCTTAGCCACCAGATTTCACATACAGTGGCCAGGGGTGATTGTGTGCTTGTACCAAACCTGAAGTAAGTGGTCATATAGTACACAATTCCAATTTCAAATGGGACTTTTCTTTTCTCCAAATCATGGGATCCATATATGTACTTGGAAATTTTAGAAAATAGGAGAATATATTTTACCAAATCAAGAATTATTTAAAGAGAATATCAAATCTATATGCTGATTTCTCATGTGTACCTATCTAATCCGTGTGCTTGATTATGTTCTTTTTACTACTAAACTGAAAAGGAGGATTTTTTCTTTTTTCCTTTTCTCTAATTGGTTGTGCTGCAATAGCAGATTCTAATTTAGAGTTGTATTGTCATGATGCTATTGTGGGAAGAATGCTGTATTGTCATGATGCTATTATGGGAAGAGTGCTCTCTCTCTCTCTCTCTCTCAACATAACTAAACAGAATTGAACTATTAATGATCTTTGGACTTTCATTCTTTTAGTGGGAGGAGGTTCGCGGCGGGTCCGAGCAGCTAGAATATCTGAGGACAATTCTCAAGGACTACATTGGCTCATAAGTTTGTGCATTATACACATCAGAAGTTTCTCTCTTGTTCTTTTGGATAGCTGAGTCAGGTTAGGGTAGAACCTGAACCTTGGTAAAACAATCACAGAGATTCATTTCATCTTTGAGTACCATTTTATCTTTGAATACCATAAGCAATGTGCAATTATGCTTCTACCAATTCAGGGAGTGACAAAGAGCCCCATGGGTTGTTCTTGCTTGGGTTTTCCTTTGCCTTAATTTTGTATGCATTGTGCGAGAATATCTAGCGCAATTTTCTATTACGTCAGATGTAATATGTATGCTAAATATTGTTATTGGTTTTTCCTTTGCCTTAATTTGTATTGCCTTGTGCACTGCACAAGAATATCTAGAATAGGGTATAACAATTCTATTAATAATTTTAATTAAATGTGCATTTCAAAAGAAATAATTTATTAGAATGTTATTTTCTCCACGAGAAATGTTCTATCAATGATTTTATTGAACTATGGGAGCAAGATTAAATTATGGGTTTTTGGCTGGAATTCGATATCACAGAACAAGCTGAATTGCTAAAAAAACTGCAACTATATAATCTGGAATATAGTTATGAAAAATTAATGGCTGAATAAAAGTGATATGTATATCCTGACAATAGACACATTCTGAAAAATTAATAGGGAAGAAAATGACATGTATATCCTTACAAGAAGCATATTTATACCAATTTTTTTCCTAAGCCTTACATTTAAATAATAGTTAAAGAAATATGTACAAAACCCCAAGAAACAATTGTTCTTTCCGCTTTTAATAACTATGTATAAACAATTTGACACAAGCAAACACAATCATAATGACGTCCACACCACATGTGAGTCATGGATATGAAGATAAACGACATATATAAGGAATGTGCTAATTTGCTTCTGATTTTATGTGTTATAACATAAACAAGGACAATTTTAATTGAAAACATATAATTCCCAAAAGGGTACATGCCTTTGCCGAGATCAAGTCACCATTACAAACACATCCATATATGAAGGGTCCATTTAGGGGTGGGAAATGGTTCGGATCAAGCTGTGGACCCATCCAGGTTCTCGTGACAAAGGGCTTGACAGGTCAAGTCTGGTTCCAATTGACCTTCACCCGACTTGCGTCCAGTCCGGTTTAGGCCCGACGCGAACCGACCTGACCCGATACATATCAGTATAAAATACATATAAATAATGCAAATTATAAGTATAAAATATATAAACGATTTTTTAGTTTTTTATACCTTGACCTGACTTTGTCCGGGGGGTCGGGCCGGGTTTGGTCTGGTCTCCAATTTACTTGAACCTGACCAAGTTCTAGGCCAGGTCATGTCCATTTAACTTAGACCTATTTAAATTGGATCGTCTGGGTCTACCCACCTGGACCCGATCCTACTCATTCCCACCCTTAGGTCCATTCAAGTAAGGCATGGTTATGAAGCCCATCTTCCATGTATAGTGCCAACCCAAAGAATATCTAACTTGCACAAGAAATCTGCACGATAACTCAGTAGAGATGCATGCTTAAACGGTGTCTCATGTAAAGTCAGTAAGATATGTTAATTTTATTTGTTCAAAAAGATACGGAAAACGGTGGACCACCGCTGGTTAAAAACAATGAACACACAAATATAAATTGAATATTTAAGTAATTCAAAAAAATACGTATATCCCCAAGAAACAATTCTTCTTTCCACTCTTAATAACTGTGTATGAAACTATGAACAATTTGACATAAGCAAACACAATCATGACGACGTCCACACCACATGGGCGTCATGGATATGAAGATAAAGGACATATATACGGACCGTGCTAATATGTTTCTGATTTTATGTGTTAGGGACAATTTTAATTGAAAACATATAATTTTCAAAAGAGTACATGCCTTTACTAAGATCAAGCCACCAATACATACACATCCATATATGAAGCGTCCATTTAGGGGTGGGAAATGGTTCGGGTCGAGCAGTGGACCCAACCAGGTCCTGGTGACAACGGACTTGACGGGTCAGGTCTGGTTCCACTTGACCTTGACCTGACCTATGTCCAGTTCGGGTCAGGGTCGACCCGACCCGCTATATATCAGTATAAAATACATATAGATAATATAAATTTTATGTGTAAAATGATTTTTTAGTTTTTTATTTAATTTTAGATAAGATAGTCTACTTCATGTCCATCTAACTTAGACCTATTCAGGTTGGGTCATCTGGGTCAACCCACTCGGACCTAACCCTACTCATTCCCACCCCTAGGTCCATTCATGGTTATGAAGCCCATCTTCTATATATAGTGCCAACACAAAGAATATGTAACTTTACATAAGAAATCTACAAGATAACACAGTAGATATGCATGCTTAAAGGGTGTCTCACGTAAAGTCAGTAAGAAATGTTAATGTTATTTGTTTAGAAAGATACAGAAACAATGGACCACCGCTGGCTAAAAACAATGAACAAACAAATATAAATTCACATTAACTTTGTACAATTACATTACAAAATGTAACAAAAAACTTGTTAAAAATGAGTTACATTTATGGGTTATCATAAAACTCATATTGATGGATTACTCAAGGGACAGCAAACATCTCCTCCAGATTTTACTTCTGGCCTTGAGTTTCTCCTTGAAACATGGAGGCCACTAGAAGAGGGATGCTTCAACTCCCACACAAATTGAATACATTTTACAGATTCAAAAGACCAGTTAGCAGCTGTACAGATTAATAATAACATCCTCCTCTTAACAAATTTACAAATGTCCAATAGAACTGATGAAATAGGTCTCCGCAACTGCAAAACAACTTTCTTCAATAGAATACGTTGGTTGACAATGTTGCAAAAATCTATAAATTTCCTTCGGTAGCTGATAGAACCTGTGTCATGACTAGAGAATTCCATTCTGCATCAGAATGTTTTTTTTAGTTAGTAAATGCTTAAAAATTGTTTGTCATTTAGTTGAAGTTTTTCTTCCTTGAAGTTGGATGCTATTACAAGTCATGTTGATAGTTGAAATTACAATACCAAATTATCCAAATTGTATTATAATAAATCTAAACGAAGAGGATAAAAAGTCTGAATAAACCTAATACCTTAATAAAGTAAAAAGTTTAATTGGGTGTGAGAAGAATCATATTAAAGAGAAGCTCCATAACTGCAAGTCTTAGCAACCTGTTGTTGCATTCAATGGATCATAGTCGTAAACCTCACCAGCCTTTACAAACCTTCCTTTAACACGTTTTCTAATGTCTGCCCTGGCTTTACGAGAAGCATACCGTATTTGTTTCTCATACCTGCATAGACAAAACCAGTGTTAGGAAGAAGAAAGCAGGGAAATCACCAAATTATAAATGATTAATCTCTCTGGATACTCGAGAAATATGACCAGAATGATCTTTAGTGTTTGTAAATATCAAAGATAACTAAAAGTTACCTTTGATCACTAGGTAATTAAAGACCAAGGCAAACTTGAAGAAGAAAATTTATATTGATTTATAGGGGTTATGAAAACTTGAAAGGGAGATTCAGTGATTTATCAAAGTTTGAAGCATAACTGTCAATTCTTATGTCAAGGGCTGTGAGGTTCAAGAAACCACAAATGAAAAAACAACTGAAACTATATTTATAGCCCCATGCATTACGAAAACCTGTACATATCCCATTGGGCTCATCACCATCAGATGATATACGATGATGGAGAACATTTGACACCCACTAGAACGCAGGGCCATCATCGCATGTTTTCCCACCCTTTCCACATCCCCTTCCTTCGTTTCATCATACTGTGATAACCCCAATAGAGACTGTATATTGTATAGTACAGAGTATCATAATTTATATTCCCAAAAAATAAGTCACATACTTGCGATTCTTTTTCTTTTCTTTGTAACGCATCATCGCACTATCCCTGGCCTGAGGGCATTGAGGCTCCAAATCACCAATGAACATCACAGGTGATGGTGACACCCCACAATCTTGATAATCAGAACCAGTGTTGTCACCAGTAGTGAGGCCCGAGAGTGGGAGTGAAATGCTAGAGAAAAATTGCCTGACAGGAAAGCCTAAGTTTACACTATTGCTGTTGCTGCAAGGATTGGAAATCACTTGATTGGTCGCACTGCATGTTGTTGTGGCCTGAATTGATCTCGGTGTCCCGACAAATTGCATAGATGGAAGAGTCATGCAATCTTGTTGTGCTGTTGAGGATGCCTAAAGGAGAAAATGCATGGATGCGTGAGTGATTGTTGAATTGGGAGAATGACAGAAGGACTCATCTTCAAGCTTCATTTTAATTGAAAAACATATAGTATGGGTGCACATAGAGCTCTATCAGGGGTGAGTTGGAAGGCTATTAATAACTGAAGTGATACATAGTAGAGAAAATGACACTTATTAATTGAAATGCTGTATTTATAGATATAATAGCCAGCTAGGAAGGACATATTTGTAGAAATTTAAGCATACATAGCATGCATATACACACAGACATGGATAATAACCTAATAATAGACACTCACATTATGCAGAGAGAGAGAGAGAGAGAGAGAGAGAAATCCCTATTATGTATACATTATATGAACATTGGCTTCATACTTGTTATTGCATCTTAAAAGTTATTTATATAACAAAGTGATGGACAAAACTAAATTAATCATCCTGATGAAAAGGGATTGTGTTATGAGAACAGAAACATCGAATTATATGTGTTTATTGTTGTCGAGTTCGGAAAAAGTGGTTGCAAACTCAAATCAAACCAAAGCTATAAGATCCAGTGACAACCTCTATGGCAATATCACTTTGGCCATTTGAATCAGCAACAGAGAAGTTGTTCTCCATGAAAAAACAGTCAATAGTAGTATCCTCAAAAACATCTTTTATAAGACTTTCAGATCCATCAAATAGCTCTCCACAGTTCTCCAAATTCAAGGCATCGTCGCTAATCCCAAGAACTTCGCAAAGATCATCACCATCGCAAAAGTCAGTATCCTTTAATTGAGGACAGCCATGCTGCATGACACAAAATAGTCTTAGTCACCAAAAAACTAAAATTACTACAATTTGTCTCAGTATGGAAAGTTGTACAATACTAAAAGGAAACAAAAGATTCCAACAATTCTGAGATCCATTGATGAGGAGACATTCACCATTCTTAATACCTAAAATGGGTCAGATATCTGCTAACAATGTATTAGTCCATCTTGAAGTATAAATATCCTTGTTTTACAAGTCAAAATGCCTTGCCTCAACTCGACAACAATGTGGCTTGCATGGAAAGTATGAATTAAGAAGAATCAATTACAATTAGAAAAAAGGAAAATCGTTACATGCGGCAGGGACCGCATTTCTACATTTGCGGTAGGTATAAAGTATCCATCTTAAAGATGGATGCAAATAGGTGGTCCATCTAAAAACAATTGAACAAATGGTCTAAATGTTTTCTTAATAGAATTATGATTTATAATTTTTTAATTTTATTTATTTTGTCATATTCACGATCTCCATGTTAGAGACTACATGTCCTTAAAAATTAAGTCCAAAATCTATCTCAAAAATAGATTTTTAAGATGTGGCTCATTCTACATGGACTCATAGAAACCGTGTCCATGAGAAAAAGCTAACAATAGGTTGTCACTTAAAATGAATAGTAGTTTAGGTTATACTCCTAATCTTCAGATCTTGATTAGATGGTTGATAATGTATGTTATTATTTGAATTTTATTTTATTTTTACAAATCAGATTGAGATAAAATTTTGGGCTTGTTTACTACATAATAAGGCACGAGAAAAAATAATCAAACAAACGTCTTTCGAAAATTCAAAATGACCAAACTACCCATATAAAATGATTGGGGGTAAATTGGTCATTTTGAATTTTTAAAATATATATATTTTTATATGGTGCATGATGGTGTCAAGTATATACATCTAAGTTTTATGCTTAAATTGATTTGTAGAAAAAACAAAGGTTAAAATTCAAAAATGAGAGCATAACCTAAACTAATGTTTGACTACTCCGTCTGACTGGCGAGTTGTCGGGCTTGTCACCCTGGAGAGCCCGAATTACCCCAAGTTGGGCGTCTCACTCAGGGATATTAAACTACTATTCATTTTAGGTAACTAATAGCCATCGAAGAATTTCTTACACAAATTCTCGGCTTCTAAGACATGAGTATGCAGACGAGGCCATTACATGGCATCATTTATTGTGAGAAAGAAAAAGAGAGAACGAAAATTGATGTCGCCCCCTGGATGCACATGGTTGTAAATTTACAAGGCAGGCCATCAATACATTTAGGGTGTCAATAGAAGCGTTTAGAAACAACCATGTGCAGTCATGGCCTTAAATTTTAACTACTAAACTTATACAACACCAAATACAGAGTAGGTAAATATAAATAGCAGTCATTTTAGTAGAATTAACAAGAAATACGATTCAAGACCCCAAATAGTTGAGATAAAATTCAGATGATTATATACAAGAAATATGACAAGGTGTAGAAAGAAATATTAGAGAAAAGTCTCTGATGATGATGTACAAGAAATATGACAATGTGTAGAAGGAAATATTACCTTCGATTCGTTCGATTCATTTCGGCCCTCCAGTTGCTGTTCCTCACGAAAAGGGGCAGGATTTGAACCACTCGTTGCAGAAGAGGCATGCATCCAAAGATCACACTTATTTCCATTATCCAATTCCTGAATCCTGCTCTGTCCTGCCAGGCCTATCAACCCACCATTTCCCTCACCTTCCCAGCAATCATTGCTTTCACCATTTTCATTAATCGTAGTCATCAAACAGTGGGAATTTGCAGATGAGCCATCCAAGACACACGACCAAATCTGTGAGGGAGAAGGGCAACCAGAGTAGCCATTAAGGCTCTGTCGATTGTGCCCGGATGCCATCGAACATCCGAACCCATTCCAGTCACAAGCTTGACAAAGGGAAACCTTATCATCAAAGCACCTCACTGTGGCAGGGTGAGAGCTGCACGCCTCGCAGATTAGTACACGGTTATGGCGGCTAGAGAGGGCATTTGCAGAATGCACATTTCGGTCGCATGTTAGGCACAGACGAGCAGCGTCCGGTCGGCAATACACAACAGCATTTTGAACCCCACAAAAATCACACAGGGAATCCATGGTCCTCACTCCAAAACCAGGAGAGGATTTTGAATTCTCAAACCCACTGTTCACCTGACCACTTTCGACAATCACAAGTTATCGAAATCAATCGTTCGTCGGTGATAGGACAAGACATCCATTTTCTTCAAGCACAAAAACACAAAATTTTAGTTTTTTACACTTTCTTATACCTGCCTCTCAAAATCTAAATTCCAGTCCAGTTCATCCAAACAATGCTCAAAGCAAAGGCAAAAGGAGGGCAACTGCAAATAAAATGACATGAGAAATGTAAACATTAGGGAGACAAAAACTCAAGAGAGATAAACAAGCGTTAACAAGAGTAATAACAAATAAAAAATTTACAAGAGAGAGAAACAAAGAGATGAGAGATGAGGAGTGACCATAGAGAGGTGTAAGCCAAGAGTCGCCTTGACCAGGGGACTCGACCCCTGGCTGAGGCGAGTTACTCGGTCGAGTCTTTATGGCTGAGTTATATTTCAAAAAGGCCCTAAAACAATTAAAAAATCAATAATAAGAAACTTTGAAAAAATAAAAACCATGTATTAGAAGTAAATTCAAACCTAAAACAATCCGAAAGAAGATAGAGAAAAATGGATTTAAAAAAAAAAAACCTAATTTACAGTTTGGGATATTTTTAAAAATATATAAAACAGTGGTTATGGCAAAAAGGACCCCGCCGAGTCCGATCAAATTGAGAGAATCAAAAGAGAGAGAAGGCAAGGGTACGTCCCACTTGGAGAGAGAAAATACAGAGCAAAACTAGTTAGAGAGAGAAATATTTAAAAAAAGTCCTAGAGAGAGAGAGTTTTAGAGAGAATGAATAATAATTCAAAAACCCTCCTCTCCCCATTTATCAGGTGGATGGAGGAACTCATTTTCCAGGCATATCATTGTTTTGGCACCATAGTCAGAGTTAGAGTTAGAAAGAGAAGGAATAACAACCTGATATCTCCATCCTCAGGGGGCTGGAAAAAGTTTTAGAGAGAGAAAGTTAGTGGGAGATAGTTTTCTGTTGGAGAGTGTTGCATTTCTAGTGAGAGAAAAGGTAAAAGTTGTCTTGGATATATGTAATGGGAGCGTGATGCCATGATTAGGCATGAGCTTTCTCTCTCTAAAACTGAAATGAGAAAGAACAGGGGAGAGGATGCTTTAGGGCTTATATACCCCCCTTCAAAAGTGGGCCCGTACGTGCCACGTGGCGTCCAGAGAGGGGAATAGAGGCCCGAGTAATGGGACCCATACGGTCAACGTGATTCATATTTGTGGAGAAGGAAAAAAAAACAAAAGTAACCATTTTATAAGTATAATTTTCTATTTAACCACGTTGGATGCATCCGTATGGAAAACGTGATTTATAATATGGAAACGTGCCACGTAGGATGTGCACGTGATTTTTCTTTTGAACCGAAAAAACGCTACGTGTACGTTACGTACCGTTAATGTACATCACGTATGATTTTGATTTTGATTTTGAATTTGTTTTTTTTTTTTTTTACAGCCAGATGATCAGTTTTTTTTTATTTTTAACAACCATTGTAGTCAATTTTTTTTTTTTTTAAACGACTATGATAGTCCAAACTGAGATGATCCATTGAAAGGTATTTCAATTCTAAATACTTTAAATGAGTTTGAAGGTGAGGCTTTGTTAATTTTAATAGGCCTACAACCTTATCAAAATATTTTACTATGTTCAGGGTACAAAGTTTTGAGGACGTGGCCTCTAGAGGTTAATAATCAATAAGAGGGAAAACAAATTACACTTGTGATTATACAATTTTTATGTCAATCAAGTGCATCCTAGAAAATATTAAATAAGTCTTCATATTTTTTTTCACTACTTTCATCCATGTCATTTTGGGCTTATTTTTTACTATTTTTTTAGCTTTCCACTTAAACCAACCCACACCTCCTGATAGGTGTTGTACTGGATCTGCACTGTACATACATGCTCACTTAAGTTTACTTTCTCTCATCGTACAGCCTATTAGAGTCACACCTAAGTTGCCCCTAATGTATTCATTTCAAATCAATGTTGTCAGATTCGCTTGGAAGCCTTATTTGGTTTGGTGAGAAAAATGAAGCGCTTAAGTGCTTCAGCCGATTCGAAAGAAGACTTCGGACTTTTTTTAAAAAAAATTAGTATAAATAAATTACATATTTATATAAAAAATATATACCAATAATGAAAAAAATTCAAATTAAAAATAAAAAAAATACATTTATATAGCTATTTCTTTGTTGGTCGAACCATACCTGTAGCGATCCGAATTTGACCGAAGCAGCCCGAAGCACTAGCACCACGCTTCGCTTCTCTTCGGTTTATGCCTAAAATTCAAAGGCTTCGGCCTCTTCGGCCGAAGCGAAGCGAACTTGATGAGGCTATTTCAAATTATTATCCCTTCTTATCTTGCCACTTATTCATCTCAACATCATCGTCTCAGCTACAGTCATCCTAAGAGTATATTGTTTCTTGACTGCCCAATATTCTACCCTATAAAGTAAAAATGGTCTTACAATTGTTCTATAGAACTTACCCTTTAGCTACATTAGTATGTGGCGATCACATAAAACGCCAATTGCACATCTCCACTTCGCTTACCTAGCTCTACTATGTGTGACATCTTCCTTAATATTTTCATTTTCCTAGATTATTAACCCAAGATATCAAAAGTGCTCTTTTGTTTTGGTATTTCATAACCATTACTTTAAGTACTTCATTGTCTTTACTCGTATTATTACTAAATTTACATTCCATATAATATGTCTTAATCTAACTAATTTTAAAACCTTTAAATTTTAGAGCATGCCTTCAAAATTCTAACTTTGGGTTGACACCACTTCAGGTCTTATCTATAAACAACATACACCACAATACTTCATCTTGTAAGTGCCTAATTAACTCGTTCATAAATAAGATCAAGAGGTATGGGCTCAATACATACTTTTATCTCTAATTATCATTTGGTTAAGGCCTATTTGGTGGTAGAATTTTTAAAGTACCCCTAATTGTTCCAACTTCCCAATACTGAATAACGGCATTCTAAGAAATTTTTTCTTTTTTTTTGAGTACTTGATTGATAAAGAAATTTAAAGCTATATCCTCAAGTGTAACATTTTGACCCTATTATTGATACCGTAAGGTTTTTTATATTTTCTAAAAACTAAGTTGAACATGACTATTTATGTGCCTCAAAAATTTAATGTTCCAAGATTAAACAAGAACCATCCAATTTTTGGAGGGCGAGGCCTAGGTTTTCAAGAACTTCGAATACAATTTTTGCCCTTGAAAATAATCAAATGATATTACTTAAATGAATCCCAAAATTTTGGATCAAAAAAATCCTTCCAACTTACTCAAAATCTCAAGATTGAACAAAAACCATCCAATAATAACTGACGCTAATCTGAGACATTATTGTTAGCTTAGTACTAAGCATCTCATTAAATATTAGACATATGTCAACCCCCAAATATAGTATAGAAGAGCAATAATTCTGCGTATAGAGTTATAGACCCTGATTCAAAACATCCATCTAAATGAATGCAAGGGGATATCCATCTAAATGAATACAGGGTGAGAGCAAGTCCCTCCCAATGTATCTATCAAACACACAAATCTACAAAGCCACTGAGAGAGAGAGAGTCTAGCCATGGTCACCTAAACATGTCATTCCACAAGTTTCAAAGGCTTCAACCCTAGAAAGTGAATTACAGAAGTATAGATGTTCAGTTTAGAAGTGGGAAACCAATCCGTCCACAAATGATGCCATTTTTGTCCTTAAAATCAAAGGTGTCATAAGAGCATCTAAGTCTAGAATAGAAGACAAGAGCTTTTTGGCATATGCCCAATTCCATTTCCATGTTTATTTTATTCACCATTTCAATCTTTGGCATTGGATGCTAGAATTGCCTTCTGAAGCTCTGCAAAGAAATCCATCTGTCCATAAAAAATACTACAAATAATTAGAGCCATGACTACCCATTCAATAAGTGCATCAAATCTACCCTCTCCCCCTCTCTCTCTCTCCCCATTCGATTCATGCATGAAATCTACTCTCTCACCACTCAATTTGTGCATGAAATCTCTCTCTCTCTCCAAAATTCAATTCGTGCTCGAAATCTACCGTCTCACCATTCAATCTCCCTCTCTCTCTCTCTCTCTCTCTCTCTCTCTCTCTCTCTCTCTCTACTACTACTACTACTACTACTACTACTACTACTACTACTACTACTACTACTACTACTACTACTACTACTACTACT